AAGCAGTGTTTTTTCCACTCCTAAGGCGACCTCCCGAATTATGCGCACAACCTTTCTGGGGAAAGGTCTTTGCAAGAGTCCGTGCCCTCTCATCATGGACCCTCATGTACTGCTGGTAGTAATATAAAATGGTGCTTTGGCTGCTTTGGAAAACAGTTTGGCAGTTCCTCCAATGAGTAAACATGCAACTGTCATGTGACCCTGCAACGTCTTTCCTAAATATCTGTCCTATAAAAATGCGCAAACACTTGCTCGTGAGTTAGGAGACGTTTAACGGAAGTCTATTCTTTCCACCATCCCCTCTCTGCTCTCACAGCTTCTGCTCAGCCTCCCTCCCTTCCGGCCTGCAAGCTGCACTCCACCTGCCTTTCTGGCTCTGGGGACCATCTCTGCCCCATGCTGCTGCCGGGGGATCCTAACAAAATGCAAAGCTCAAAAAAAAAAAAACGCCGGGGATTTAGCTCAGTGCTTTCGCCGCCTGCTGCACAAGCTCAAGGACCCGAGTTCGATCTCCGGTACCAAAAAAAATAAAATAAAATAAAATGCAAAGCTCGCTGTGGCTCTACCTGTACCATCAGGATAAAACCCGCCTTGGGTAAATCACAAAGACCTCTATGTTATGGCCCTTTGCTGTCTCTACAGCCTCAAAACTCACTGTTTTGCCATTTTTCCTATCAAGATTGAGAGCTGGGACCTCAGCAGGGGATTTGAGCCCACATCTGTCCAGCATCAAAGCGCATGTGCTTTGGATGACAGAACTGTGTCCCATACTTGTGAAAAAAGCCCATTTATTTCTCAAGCCCACTGAGGACCTGCTGTCTCCAACCATGGATGCAAGCTCACTGTTCTGATGCAACTCTTTCTAACACTTAGTATTACCTCTCCTGCACTGAGCACTAGTTATGTCCCGCCAATGTGCCAAGTGCTCAGATATACACTGGAATAAAGCACAGCTCTCAGTGAGCGACCATCAGGAAAATCAAAACCACAATGAGATGTCACTTCATGCCCACTAGGATGCCAATAATGAAAAGATAGATCATAACAAGTATCCGTGAGAAAGAAAAGAAATTAGGACCCTCAGACAATGCTGGTGAGAATCAAAAATGATGCTTTGGTGCTTTGGAAAACAATCTGTCTATTGCTCAAACGAATAAATATGAAGTTGCCATAGGACCCAGCAGTTTCACTTCTTAAATTTTACCTTAGGAGAATGAGCATGCATGGCCAGGTAAACACTTGCACATGAATGCTCATAGCAGTATATTTCCAATAAGCAAAAAGTAGAAATAGTTCACACATCTACCAATAATGAATGGATAAATAAACGCAGTCTATCCATACAATGGAATATTGTTCAGTAATATAAAAGAATGAAGTGCTAAAAAGCGTTTCTACATAAATGACCTTGCAAACATTAAGTGAAAGAAGCCAGTCATAAAAGACCATAAACTATATGACTGTGTCTATAAGAGGTGATCAGAATAATCAATCTATAGAGTTACAAAGTAGATTAATGGTGTCCTAGGAGTGAGGGAGGTGACAGGAGGATTGTTGTAGAAAATAGAGAGTGACTGCTAATGAGGACCGAATTTCTTTGGGGGATGATGAAAATGCTCTAAAATTGATTGTAGTGATGGCTTTGCAACTCTGTGAATATGCTAAATATGACTGAATTATACACTTGAAATGGATGAATTATGGCATGTAATTAAAGCCAGGGTTCAGAAAATATCACCACACAGACAGACCCACTCCCAATGATCCTTTAGCCTAGGCACCCCCTCCAGGTGACTAACAGGTCCCAGCATGCCAGGCCATTCCCAGTTTTATGAAAGTCCTACCTTCAAGGAAAGCCCTCCATCCCTGGCAAGCCAAGACAGTGGGTCTCCAGCTGGAATGCCCCCACCTCCTGTCATTGCCAAGGCAGAAGGCAGCACACTGGCATCCACAGGTCCTGGAGCTCTGCTTCAGATATAGATACTATGCCTACAAGAAGGTGGTAGGAATCTGTGTCTCCTCAGGGGCAAGAAGATGCAACTCCTGGGCCTGGGCTTAAAAAGCAGACCCCATAGGAGGCCAGTCATCCACAGAGAACTTGGCCAGACAGTGAAACCCTCTCACTGCTTCCCCTTTGGGAGCTGGTGTGACTGAGAGCACAGGGCAGCTGGTCTCTATTCTGAGTACTGACTTTTCTCAAGTTCACACAATTATTTTCATCTGCTCTGTCATTCTTTAGTCCTTCCTTTCAGAACTCCCCATCCATCTTATCAAAGTGCTACCAATGTCCTTGCACCTGCAAGCAGCTCAGCTAAACATCATGGGCAGAGGGCTTTCCAGGGAGCAGATCCACAAGGCTTAACGATGTCTAGTCTTTCTAAAGTGCTTATAATCATCTCCCATTTCTGTGATCCAGTTGCAAACGTGGCAAATGTAGTCCAGCCTAATCCAAGTGCCTCTAGTCACTCCCGAAGGCCGACAGAAGGGAAGACTGGACCACCTCAGCTAGTGAGGGAGACAGAGCTCTGACCTCCAGAGGTCACGGCTCCATGCCAAGCTTCTAGGTAGGACTGACCCACATGTGAGTCCCCACCTGCTGGGATGGGAACCACCTGCAGGCTGCTGTCCTTCTGTCACCCTTCAGAAACAAGGCCTTTCTCACAACCAGCCTGATTGTCTTGATACAGCTACAGAAAATTCCCTGTCAACAGGCCTGGTACCACTGGGGTATGTAACATTTACTGTGGCCCTACCATAGGCAGGAAATTATAACAGTTATTTTAAAAAATAGTTCACAATTTACTCTCCAATAACAGCTAGAACTGTTTTAAAATTTAACTCAGATCATGTCATATGCGTACTCAAAACCCTCCACTGGCTTCTCACTTTAGAAGGGACTCCCAAGTCCTTGTCATTGTCCCAACCCTTGCTGCTCCTCCAGCCTCCTGACCTTCCATGCTTTCTTCCTCAGCCCCTGCTATCAGGCATACTCCTTCCTCAGGGCCTTTGCACATTCTGCCTCTTGGATCTCTGATGCAGAATATTATTCCCCCAGATATTACTGTACATCTCTCCTTCACTTCTGTCTGGTCACTCCTCAAATGTCACCTCTTTAAAGAGAACTTCCCTGAGCACCTTATTAAAGAGTGCCCTTCCATTACTTTGTGAACTTTTACCCTGCTTTATTCTTCATTGCATTCATCATTATATTAAGTATTTGTCTATTTGTCTGCCTCCTTCCACTTAAACATAAGCTCTATGAGAGCAGGAACACTGACTATTATTTCTTACCTATAGTATCCCAAGTCCATCATAATAATGTCTAGTGTAAATAATAAATAGATGATAGATAAAAAACAGGGGCTAAAATAATTTTTGGAGAAGAGGAATTGAACCCAGGGCCTGCTAGGCAAGAGCTCTACCACTGGGCTGCATCTCCAGCCCCTTCCTTCTTTTTATGTTTTATTTTGAAATAAAGTCTCATTAAGTTGCTCATGCTGTCCTCAAACATGTGATCTTTCTGCCTCAGCCTCCCGAGTAGCTGAGCCACCATGCCTGGGAATAAGACTTTTTGAATGACCACTGTAATTCACTTTCCTTCATGAGGTAATAATAAATCTATGTCCACTTTGCAGATGAGGAAAATGAGGCCCAAAAAGGCTACATTACTAGTTCAAAAATCTGTAACTAGTAAGTGTCAGATATAGAATATGAACCAAGACCTCCCTAATTCCAACCCTGTGTACCCTCAGTTATGCCATGTGCCTCTCTTCTGAACCACAGTCCTTTGTGGAACTGTATGGGTGAAGAGCTTCAAAAGGCAAGAGATTCCTTGGAGAAATAAGGAACTCACCACCCTCCTCTCCACCTCCAGTTCTCAGCTGATGTCTTGTGACATTGAAACTGGGGCAATACCAGCTGAAAACATTTACTGATCCCAATGCCAAGCACGCTGTAAGTGCACTATTACTGCCATTCCATCCTAGAATCGAAGCTGCTGGTGCAAAGAGAAAGTTAAAGCACGTTTCAAGGTGCCAGCAATTATACCACTTAGGGTCCATACCTTTTTGGGAAGAAAGCTGAGAAGTAATAGAGAAATGAATGAACCATTAGAGAAATTTCTCAACCAAATAGTCAGGTTCTGACCTAATATGAAACTTCAAAAAGTTTCTAGAAAATCCATCAGCTATTTGTTATTTTACAGAGCAGTAAACATCACATGAATACTTCATGGAAGATTAAAAACATCATGTGCATAAAGATCTCAGAGTTTAAGCAGACCAAGAATTGGCAAAACTTTAGCATAAAGGTCCAGATAGCAAACATTTTAGGATTTCAAACTATAGCATCTCCATAACTACTCAACTCTGCCATGCAGTGCCAAAAGCAGCCACTGACAGACTGTAAACAAGTGGGTGTGTTGTGTTCTAATACAACTTTATTCACAAAAAAACAGATGCTCGGGCCAGACTCAGCCTGCAGGCTACATGTAGTTTGTTAATTACTGATCTAGACCAATGTGCCTCTGTGACAGATGAAGAAACGAAGATACAGAAAGATGAAATGACTCACAGCCAGTGATGAAAGAGGGAAAGGAGAAAGCCATTCAATATTCATTCAGCAATTATTTCTTACGTATGTATTATATTCAGGCAATTCTAAACACAGGAGAGACAACAGTGAAGAAAACAAGAGTTTTTCTGAGTGAGATCATCCAGATCTCAAGTTTCAGTCAGGGCAGCAGACAGCAAAACAAAAAAGTAAACAAAAAAATGAATGAGATAATGCCAGACAGTCACAATTCTGTGAGTACAGTGAAGCAAGATAATGTGGCAGGAGGCAGCTTGGGATGTGGGAGTGGGTGGGGAAGAGAGTGGAGCCAAAACCTAAATGACAAGAACCTGGCAATGACAAGAAGATGGAGCAGTTGTATCTATTAAGCAACATATACGGAGTCTGCAAAAATATGTATACACACTTCAGGAAAAGAAAAACCTGTGTAAATATTTTAATACCAAATTTATTGAGACATCATGGGAGTAATACAAGTAGGCTTTGGCCTCTACTATTACAAAAGCGATGGCCATTAGCTTCCAGGCATTTATTAGTATGGTGAACTGCTGCTTGGGTAACCTTGGTCGTTGAGATTGCTGCACATGCGTTTTCCATTTCATCTCTAAGGGCCGGCAGTGTAGTGGATCTTCTGTGATACACATCCTCTAGGGTCCCCCATATGAAGGTAACACCATCTGTTAAGAAAACACCATACTATTTTTCTTTTCTTGAAGAGTATATACACTTTTTTGGTGGTTTCTCTCTCTCTCTCTCTCTCTCCCCCCCCCCCTATATTTTTTCCACTTAATCTTTTTAAAAAATTTTTCATTAGTTTTATTGGTACATTTTAGGTATACAATATGCTGACATTCATTATTGGGAATGTGTACCTTTACATAATATATCTTGGTTTTTATTTTCTTCCCCATTCCCCTGCCCTCCATTCAACCCCTCACCCCTCCCTATTTACAAAGACTTTGTTTCCATTTTTTCCTTTTCTCATATTTTTTCCTTTCCCTTCTTTCCTTTCCCTTACCTCTTCCACTTCCCTTTTCCCTTTGGACCTTTTCTTCCCATTTCACATTATCTATTATACATTTTAGTCCTTATTTACACTTTCAGTTCCAGAGAAAAATATTTGGTATTTACACATGTGTGTCCTATTTATTTCAAATAAAGTATGGCCTCATTGTGCATCCATTTAGCTATAAATGTCTCTAGTTTCTCATTCTTTATGGCTGAGTAGTACTCCACTTTATAAAAAAAAAAATCCACACATTTCTTTTATCCAGTCTCCAGCTGATGGGCAATTGGGCTGTTTCCAAGTTTTAGCTATTACAAACTCTGCTGCTATGAACATGGGTGTGCATATATTACTGTGGTATGATTCTTTTAATTCTTTTGGGCAGATACCCAGCAGGGAAATAGCTGGGTCAAATGGGACCTCTAATCTTAGTTGTTTGCTTTTGTTTTTGTTTTTGTGTTTTTGCTACCGGGGATGGAACTCGGGACCTTGTGCTTGCGAGGCAGTTGCACTGGAACCACTGAGCTAAATCCCCGGCCCTAATCTTAGTTTTTTGAGGTATCTCCACACTGATTTCCACAGTGGTTGCACCAATCTACTATACTTCCATCAACAGTGGAAAAGGGTTCCTTTTTCCCCACAACCCCATCAGCCTTTGTTATTGGTTGATTTCATGATAGCAGCCATTCTTTCTGGGGTGAGGTGGAATCTCAGTGTTGTTTTCATCTGCATCTCTCGAATGGCCAGTAATGTTGAACATTTTTTCATATGTTTATTTGCTGTTTCTACTTCTTTGAGAAATGTCTGTTCATTTCAGATTCCCAATCTTTACAGCCTTTGTGTTAGCTTTGTGTCACCATAATAAAAGCCTAAGATAAACCAACTTGAAAAGTGTAAATGTTTATTTATTTGGGGTCATGATTTGAGAGGTTTCCATCTTGGTCACTTGTCTCTATCGATTTGGACCTGTGGCCACATAGTACACTGTGACAAGAGTATCTGGTGCATGAGGCCTATTTCCTTCATGGTGCCTGACACCATGGTGCCTGGAAGCAAAGAGAAGGCAGGAAGGGACCTGAGTCCCAGAATCCTCTTCAAGGACACACCTCCAATAACTTCACTTCCTTCCATGAGGCCCTACGTCTTAAAGGTCCCACCATCTCCTAGTGGTGCTACAGGCTGGTGGCAAAGCTACATATGTCCTTCTAGATCCAAACTATAACAGCCCTCTTGCTGAAGGGGCGAAACTGAGGCTAAGTAATCTGAGAAGATTGTGCATGGTGTGGCCCAGCAGACTTCCCAACCAAACCCTCTCTGGCTCCAAAGTTTGACTGTATTCTCTCACATCAGCTTCCTAGACATTTCATAGTGAGATGACTCAGAAATTCTCTCAGGAATTTAAAACACCATCTCCATCTAACATGTTTGATTTGGGGCCTGAACATGTATTAAAGTGCAGATTAAATTTTAACTAGATATCACAGCCTCAAAACCTGCTTTGATGACATGATGCTTGAAATTATTGCTTCTTGTACTTTAAAAATTAATTTTTTTTTTCAAAAACTGGTTCATATTTTATTTCTAAACAAGTTTGGAAAGAAGGTTTCAGGCTACTTTTTTCAAGTAACTCTTTGCAAACAAAACCTTCGTGAATAATATTTATTCCCAACAAATGAAAAAGCCAAAAACGAAACGCATGTTTTCCTTTAATATTGGTTTTTGATGAACTAGAAATAATTCGATGTGCTGTATTAGAATTTTCAGTAGCTAAATGCAGGTTGCTGATTTGATCAAGGCAATAATGGGCAAACATTTCTTGTTGTCTTATTGAATCTTGACATAAATGTTAATTATGATTCCCATCTTCACCCAGTGGTCCACTAGGAATAAAAATTAAACAAAATATGACCAGCTGTAAAGTTCCCTCACTGAGGAGCATCCCTGACCACCAGGGCACTGAATGCATTCAAACGGACAGACACCACCATATATACCCATCCCACACTCACCTGGAGCCTCCACCTATTTCTTTTGAGGGAAAGGAATATTTCAAGAATTATTCTGCTCACTTACTGTTGTGATCTAGAAATGGAGACCACGACCTTTATTGTCTGTGGTGAAAAGCCACAGGCCCATTGCTCAGGCTGCACTCTGCAGGAAGGCCTGGGAAGCTCCTGGGTTATGTAATGTGGGGAGCCCACTCTCAGGGCAGAGCCTGTCCTTGGACCATTCTGAGAGTGGACGTCTCTTTATGTTGGGTACCATGCCCCGCTCACTTGCCTCCACGGTGGCCTGGCCTGGACGCACACACAAGCACACATGCACACACACTCTGCAATGCAAGCTTTCTCATAAATAGAAGGCTAGAAATAAGTCATTTGTTCCCAAAACCTTCCAAAGGAAAGCTGCATTAGATTCCTGGGCCTGCAGTGGCGATGTTGCTCTTGCCCTGTGTTTGTTCATATTCCTCAGCATCATCTGTGTCTCGGGTATTCAGTCTAAGTGTATCCTTTTTTGTTTTACCCTAGATGGTAACAAAAGTATTTTTTTTCTGTTTCTTTCATAAAATTCTTTTTGGTTTCTTCTTTCATAAAGAAAGGGATTTTAGGAGAAAAACTCAAAACAACAGACATCATTGTTTGCTTAGCCTTCTCAATGACTAGAACCAGAGCTCTGGAGCCAGAATGGATTTCTGAAGGTCCCTCGGCCAACCTTGTGCCTGCAGCTGGTCATAGCTGAAATCTTGCACTGCCACCATCACCACCACCCCTGCCAGCTAGAGGCAGAATCTGGAAGCTCAGTGGATCAACCCGAGGAAGCTGCTGTTCCCCTTACAGAACACTGGCAAGTCTGCATCACTAAACTGCAGAAAATAAAATCTACACTATGTTTTACATGATGTTAGAAAGACCAGACTAAAATAATTTATGTGCTACCACTTTAAAAAGGAGCATTGGGCACTATAAAGCAAAAGAAGCTATTTTAAATCCCTAAGAGTAGTGTACATTTAGCATCCCTTCATTACAATCTCAATATATAGTATGAAGAAAGTTTTTACTTATAATTAGCATGCCCAATTGGATATCATATTTGTCTTCTAGAGGTAAAATCTTGCTGTCACCATTATTGGCTATGTGAGCTTAGATGAGTCACCTACTTCTCTGACTATCCATATCCTTATCTGTATAGTGAGCCTGTGATATCTGCCTCAAAGTGCTCTTATAAGGGTTGGATGAAACAGTGCAGATAAAGTACAGAGCACACAGTAAGACTCGAGAAATTATATTATTGATAAACACTCTTATTACAAAATAAAAGTCTTATTTCAAAAACAAGTTAGTAAAAATCTCTTTTATCTTTTTATTCTTCTCCGGAGTCAACACTCCTGCTACCTCTACCTGATCGTGATTCTTTTATCAGTGTTTTTTAAGTTAGTGATTCTTGAGCTTTTTGAGGTTCTTAACCTTATTGAGAATTCAATAAAAGTTTCAGCCCCCCTCCATGGAGAAGTTCACTAGAAAATTGTTTTGCATAATCTTGAAGGATTTGGGAGGCATCTGAAGCTCACCCACCCACATGCTCTCTCTTCAGAGATGCTGTGGACCCAGTTTTGAGAATTCCTCTATTGTCTTCTCCTGGTGGGCAGCATCCCAGAACATCTCTTTCTTCAAGGTCTGGGTTCTGAGGACCTGGTCCCTTGGAGTGACTTCAGATGCAGATTCCTAGCAGGTCCAGGAATCTTGGAGGAACCTAGGATTTAAGAAGCAATGAAGCTCAGAAGAAATGCACCTCAGCCTGAATCTGGAAGAACAAAGGCCCAATTACCAACTTCAGACTTTCAAAATGTCAGGCTATTTATCACAAATCTTTCTCAGCTAAGAGGTATTAACAATACCAAAGGGAGAAAGCTGAATCAGAGGCAGGAATTCTCAGGGCTGGTGAAGGGGGACACATCTAGGACCTCTCAATGGCAGATCTCTATTTCAAAGACTCCAGTGGACAGGTCTAGGAGTCCTACACACAAATCTACAAGACCTCTGATGGAAAAAAAGCACTCTTGATGGTGAAATTCACATTCCTCTGCACACAAGGAAGTTGTTGAAAGCAGGCTAGGGCTATCACCAGCCATGGTCACAGTGAAAATCACTTGTGTGGGGGCCCTGGATTAGCCATATTGTGAGTTCAGACAACAGTAAAACTGAAAGGTCCCCTAGAACCATCTGGGAGAGGTGACTGCTATAAAAAAGAAGCCTGGATTGGCATGCAGCTCAAGAGGTCAGCTGACCTTTTTCTGAGCCCAAGTTTCCTCAGCTGTAAAAAATGAACAACTCCATTTCCTGGATGAAATTGAGCATTAAATGAGGTAACACACACAAGAAGCCTGGAAAATAGTAAGCCCTCGGTGAATAGTATCTAGAATTATTATGGTTCTTGGTGCTATTAATGGACAAAGCGGTTTGAACAACTGTTCTCACAATATTAAATGTGAGTTGAAACCCTACTGGGTATAATTGCAATAGGCAAGATTGAAGGGAGGAGGAACCACTTTCGGATCATCACAATTTGTACCTACCATCAATTATTGTGGCACTATTTGTTCTTGCAGACCTCTAAGAACCTCCCCCTTGAGGAATCACATAATGTGGTTACTCTGGGGTGGAGAGATGACAACTACTTCGGGGGCAAGTAGAGAAATTCTGTAATTGAACTTTTGTTCATTCAAATTGGCCTTTGTCTGGTCCATTGTAAGTAGTGAGATTTTTCTGTAAGGAAAAAAAGCCAATCAGCTGAACACCTGTGAGCTTGAAGCTGTTACAGATATTTAAGCTTCATAACCCTGCTAGGAAGGTATTATTGTTCTCATTTGTAAGATGAGAAATTTCAGCTTAAGAGGAGTCAAGTGAACACTTTTTGTTTGAGATCACAAATAGACCTCTGAGATTTAAACACAAAACACTGTGGAGCTTCGTTCAGCAAACTGTCTTGTTCTGTTTCCCTCAGAAAGGGAACTTCATTGTCCAATTTCCTAGACTAGGCAGAGAGAGCTCACTTAGGCATTAGAATAGCAGCATGGGAACATGGGGGAAGGTCAGGGAAGAGAAGACATTCCCCTCCCAGTGATCCTGTTCAAGAGAGGTTGCACTGAAGTCTTTTAAAAGACCTAGGAAGGTTTAACTGAAGACTGTTATGATAGAAGAGAGAGGTTGAAGTCAATTCTGAATGCGCAGAAGATTTATAGCCAACAGGGAAGGTGATGGAGAGGTTGGAAAATAACTAAGAAGAACTTGGTTAGATATCAAGAGTGGGGGAGACAAACTCAATTAGATATTGAGGGTGGAGGAGTGAGGATTTTGATTGGAAGTCAAAGATGAAGAGATCTCCCTACACTGGCTTAGAAGATCCTTGCTAAAATTGGCTCCAGTGGCCAAAGATAGGGCCAATGAAGAATTGTAGTGAAAAGAAGGCTTGGAGGAGCCTAACTAAAGTTTGGTCAAAGAGGGAGCCTTATCAATTCAATGTGTTAGACTGCAAAATCTGCCACAGTTCTACCCCTCTCTGCCTTTCATGTGTGATTGCATAACTTCCCATCAAGAGGTGAAATCTACTATACCTTTGAATATGGGCCCTGTGACTTGCTTCACTAATAGAAATTGTGGAAACAACATGGTACCTGTTCTGAGTCTAGATCTCAAGGAGGTTCCTCTCTCTCTCTCTCTCTCTCTCTCTCTCTCTCTCTCTCTCTGCCTCTCCCTCTCCCTCTCTCCTTCTCCCTCTCCCTCTCTTTCCAAATAGAGATCAAAACCACCAAATAGATGCGAGCCCAAATCACTAACTTTCAGAATCTATGAAATCATGAGGTTAATAAATGGTATGGTTTTAAGCCACTGAATGTTGGGCAGTTTCTTATGAGTAAATAGATAATAGATACATTCTCAAGTGTGTCCACAAATTGGAATTGCTTAAGGTGCTTTTAAAATGTTTTGGTGCTTGGGTCTCCTACAGAGCTCCTCATTGCTTGGCCAAGGCCTTGGCATCAGGAGTCCCAAAGTCTCCCCCATGTGATTTCAATGAGAATCATTGTCCTACTCCTCTGGCCTATGCCAGGGATACACTGGACCTATAAAGATCCATTATGACTTGAGATCTACAGATCAGTGTCAGTGTTTCTCAAAATGTAGTAAGTGTCTTAATTGCTTGAGGCTTATATTAAAATGAAGATTCTGGGGTGGCAGCTGAGATCTTGCATTTCTAACACACTCTCAGGTGATGCTACCACTGTTGGCCTGTGGACAGGAGTTGTCTATTGGGTCTTCCTCTCACTCCTTCCTATATCAGTCTTTAGAGACCTAGCAGCCACCTCTCAGCTGAACTGTCTCACATGTACCATCATTCGAGAGGAGGATAATCTTCAGGTAGTTCACGATAAATTCCCTAGAGATGAGTTCCTGATAGATTCAGGGTAGGCTGTTCAGCAGCCTCTTTGAGGGCCATACGCAGACTCTAAGGCTCTTCCCAGTCATTTTAGACTCCCATGAAATTGATTCTAGTTCAGAAACTGCCACCCAATCCAAAGAAGGGCAGTATATGAGTTTCTACGGCTGTCATAACAAAATACCACAGTCTGGGTGGCTTAAACAAGAGACATGTGTTTTCTCACAGTTCTGAAGGCTGGAAGTCCAAAACCAAGTTGTCAGTGGGGTTAATTTTTTCTGAGGTCCTTCTCCTTGGCTTGCAAGTTGCCACTTTCCAGCTGTGTCCTCACAGTCTCCCTTCTGTGTATGTCTGTGTTCTAATCTTCCCTTTTTAAAAGATGCCAGTTGTATTACATTAAGGCCCACATTGGTGATCATGTTTCTTGCTTGATTACCTCTTTGAAGGCTCTATCTCCAAGTACACTCATATTCTGAAGTCCTGGGGGTTAGGAATTCAAAATATGAAGTTTGAGGGAACACAATTCAGTCCATAACAGGGACCTTCCTGGGGGAACTTGGGATGGGAACCAGATGACAGGGCCGTGAAGCACTTTCAAGGGCAGAAAGACAAGCACGAGAAAGCTAAGTTTGAACAGGGGGAATAGCCTGGGGTTGCCAGAGTGAATATAGAGTGTTTTTCCTACAGAACAACTGAATGACCACTTGGACCCATGACATGAAACTCTAGTACTGTAGGCAAATCAAAGGGCTGGGATAAAGATTGGTGTGGACTGAGTGATCAGAAAACACTTAAGACACAGAATTGTCTGGAACAGGACTCCTGGGGTCAAATGCTGGCAAAACCTAAGAGGAGAGAAGAGCACTTCTGTGGGTATCAATCAGCACAGCACCTTTCTGTTTTGTCCTTTTAATCTCTCATTTTCCTGGTTAATGTCTCCAAGCCTCCTTTCCTCATATGAAACATGAGATTAATCCCAACTCCCTCATAGGGTTATTGTGAAAATTAAACCATAAGATGTACATAACCAGAGCCAGATATATCCACGTGGACTAGTGTCGACATTCCCAATATTCATCCTTTCTCCACTTCCTCACCACATCCCAGTCCATCCTGAGAATTTTGGTCTGCTTTTCCTGATCTTTCCAGAGAGTTTATGCCACCCCCATTGTCTGGCTTTTTGTGATGTCAATTAGGAAGAATGAAGTGGGGGAAGAGAAAGAGAGAGAGAGGGAGAGGGGGAGAGAGGGGGGGAGAGAGAGAGACAGAGAGAGAGACAGAGAGACAGAGACTGTGAAGGAGAGATGCAGGTAGAGGCAGGGAGATAGGATTCTTGTATGTTCTCTCAGCCCCAGCACTGCCCTCTGGTGCAGAGAACCTGCAGAATGGACCGACAGAGAAGAAATAAATCTGATGCAGTAATGATTAAGTCTATCTGCCTGGTAACAATCTTATTTCAAGGGCAGGCAATAAATAAATAAATAAATCATTGCCATGAGCATTAAGGAGTAACTGTCAAGTAAGAAGTTCTGAAGTAGGCAACAAAATGTAAAGACTGACCAAGGAAAGGAACTTTGACAGATTTTGCTGTGAGGATTGAATTTAATCATTTTAATGTTCTTTGAGAGATGCCAGTAAAGATTGGAATTCTGATTTAGTTACTTTTGACTGGTAGAATTTACTTCATAAAACCTAACTCAGTGCAGAGATTGATGAACATGAGATCCTGGGTTTTCTATGGGGAAAGTATATTAAGTCTATATCTAATATCTTTTTATGGTTTACTGCCACTTAGTAGCTACTTAAATGGTATCTTATCATTTTTATTATTATTAGTCACCATATTTATGCTCTCGAACCAAGATCCATATCCTTTTGAGAACGAACTCATATTTTGGAAATCATTCCATTTCCCCTCATCTCTCTCAAGATTTACATATAGGAAGCTTGTTTCAGGATGACTGGAAGAACAATCTTGACTGTGTAAAAGCAAAAATAAGCTTCAAACTTCATATACTGCAAACATGTACTAATTTTGGGGGGGAGGTACTGGGGATTGAACTCGGGTCCTTGTGCTTGCACAGCAGGCCGCGAAACCACTGAGTTAAATCCCCGGCCCAATGTGCTAATATTTTTAAAACCAAAATAAGCAAAAGACTGTTAACCTGGAGGTGCTTCTGACTAAAACTCTCTTACAAGCAAAAGAAATCTTAACTTAGCCGTAGTCCTTATAAGTGATTCATTTTCAACCAAGTTTCAGCCAATCACAGACAGCCAACCAGCTGATTTACCCACTACATGGGACCTCCCATAGGAATATCCCCAAGCAGAACAAATGCCTAGCTGTAGCGAATCCAATAATTTCTGTATTTTATTTCCATGTTCAGCCTACAAAAGCTCACTGCCATTATGCTGAGCCCGAGCTCTCTTAACACCTTCTGGTTTCAAGTGGTGTATGATTCATGAATCTTTTATTGTTCACATTAACTCTGTTAAACGTATTTTGTCTAAAGTTTTTCTTTTAACAGCTGGTTATCACCTGTCTCAGCCTCCTAAAAGTACCAGACAACAGATTCTATTCCACGGTGTTTCAACTTCATGACAAATGATCTCTCTACCAGAGTAGCTCTAAGCCATAGACCTGTGCACACTGTTGAGGCAGTGAAATATCCACAAATCCAAAGGCTTTCCAGGTATTGCCCAAGGGGCTGAAAAAATAATATGTTTTCACATCTACGTACTATTTTAGGAACAGGTATATTGCTACTAGATTCATGGTACTTTCTATCATTTTCTTTTTTTTTTTTCAGTTAATATATACTTTTATACAATTTTAATTGTTTGGATAGAAGATCCTAAATATTTTTTTCTGGTGTAGAAAGTCTTCTTATAAACAAAAAATGTGAGCAATCTCTGATAGAGTCCTTTAGGGAGAAGCTGTGCTTTATCTAGTTTGTGGAAGTTTCTAGCCTTCACCCTGAAACTAGCAGTTAAGTTTTGTTTTGTGAGTTGTTTAATATCAAGCATCTCTCAAGAGGTTCACAATAGCCTGAAGCCAAGTGACATACATCGTGTAATGGAAAAACTATATTGTTTAAAATTTTTTAATTATTACAGTAAAAGACACATTGCCATTATTCCCCTCAAAGCTTTCCCCCTTGCTTCAAACACACTTATCCCCTCATTCTTGCCACTTTTGGAAGCAGTTTTGCCTTGCAACCAGGACTTCCACAGACCTTCCTTCTTGGTCTAGCTCCACTGCTCATATCACCATAGCCTTGGATAACTCATCTCTTCACTCAGGGGCTCAATCCACCCAAGTGAACACAGT